ATGTAGACGTTCCCCGGATGTGGCGGTCCCACAACAACTTGGTGCTTTGGACCTTCTCACGCACATGTTGGAGGGACTTCATCTTCACATGGTGCACATGGTGGCGGGACTTCTTCTTCACATGGTGCAAAGAATCAACTGCGCAGAGGGTGGTCAAGGACATGGTCATTATGATGATGAAGTTGATGAAGGACAAGGAGAGTACTATGATCATGAGTATGATGAGATTGGCATGTCCCAGCTTGGAGATGCACCCCAAGGAACTCAAGGCCCCTCCGGTTCTGGACGTCCACATAGGATGCTCGCACCCGGTGGGCAGGTACACCTGTGTACCTATCCCGTTTGGGAGGGAAAGCGTTACGCTTCATCCGTCCACGTGAAGGTACAAGGAGCGATAAAAGATCCAAAGACTTCATATGCTTTATTTTGTGCATGGACTATGTATGCATTGGACCTTGTACTATGTTTGGACTATTTTTTTTGATTGATGAAGCATATGTATGGACTATGTTGGATGTTGAATGTGTTGGACCTTAGGTATGTACGGATGTTGAATGAATGTGTCTGTCGGTGTGGTCATGTGTTATGTGAATGTGTGGAACGTCGCCATGTTTCATGTTTCCAGCTATTAAGGGCCTAGCGAGCTCAGGTCCGTTGTTGGCACAAGGTCATCGTCGGCTGATTAGAGTAGTGGGAAATAGTGAAGCAAATCAAAGAAGAGGTATATTTTGGTGAACCCAGGGGCTCGGCGTTTAGTCATTTGACGCCGACCCCTGGTACATACTGGAAAACAATTCACCGAAGCGCCGAGGTGCCCAACCTCGGCGTTTAGTCATTTCACGCCGACGCCTGGTACATACTAGAAACCGTTGCATCGAAGCGCCGAGATACCCAAGCTCGGCGTGGGGTAAATTGACGCCGAGCCTTGAACCTCGGCGTGTTACGACTAAGCGCCGAGGTTCGGCCCAAACCGGGCCACGGCCGTTGCCAAACCCTAGGGTTGGCGTGGGCCGACTCGACGCCGAGCCTCAGCCCAACTCACAAACGGCCGAGCCAAACCCTAGGGTCGGCGTGGGACGACTCAACGCCGAGCCTTAGCCCACCTCACACACGGTCGAGCCAAACCCTAGGGTCGGCGTGGGCCGACTCAACGCCGAGCCTCAGCCCAACAAAACCCAAACCATTTGGTATATGTTGCGATCCTATTTGCATGATTCAAATGAAAAATCTTTCTCAACCTCTTCGACTAACACGAGTTATACTAACGAATCTAGACAAGTTATATTTATGTTTGTATGTTTGTTCCTGCAGGAAAAACCGATTGTTGGTTCGATTTCAATCCCCTATTTTTAGAGAGACTCAAATCTTTTTTTCAATTTGGGAATCAACCATAGTACATGAAACTTAGAGGTAGGTAAACTGCAATTTATGAAATAGCGGAGGCACAACGATTACAGTCACATCAAAAGTAACAAATGGCATGTCGCAAACTAAACCTAGCATGCCTTAGGGGATTGAAAGAAACAAGTGATACAGACATTGCAAAGGGTACACACTCACATAAAAACTAACAAGGGCATGTTGCAAACTAAACCTAGCATGCCTTACGAGATTGAAAAGAACAACTCATACAAGCATTCCACATTCGGATTGACTAACAAATGTTGGTCCTAATAATGCTCCCACATATTGAACTGAGTTGCGCCTTCCCCATAGTATCCTCCAGTTGACGGAGGCGGTGGTGGTGGCGGTGGCGGTGGAGAAGGAGGTCTGTCCTTCTTATGGTACGGGCACTCGCAGTACGGATTATTGCATAGTGCCTCCTCTGCATCATTGCTGTTGTCGTCGTCCGACTTGTCCCTGTTACCACTTCCAGGGCCATACTCTAGGTCAAAGATGCGTCCCTGTAGATATGTGATGTACTGTTGATGGGGATAGATAGGAGGAGGGTCGACCCATCTAGTGAAGCCACAGTTATCTGGACAGCTTGAATCCTGAAAACCCATCTACCAATAAGTACTAGTATAAACCAAATGCAAATCTAAAAAAGGAGAGAGTTCAAAGGCAATACAAATCCTCGCGGGCATCTGAAGAAACGACGGCCTCCACCGTCACAGTCGTTGTACATCTGCACAACGCAATCCAAACCGTGACGGCATTTTGGCTAATCTTCAATGCGCTTCTCGTATGATCTAAGAGGTCTCTCACGGGTGAAGTCACTCTTCCTCTCCAAAGGAAATTCCTCTATTGGTTCTTGAAAAGAATCAGGACCCAGAGAACCCTCCCACACAATCGGAGGTCCCTTCCTCACCCCCTTTCCTCTCCCTCCGCCGAAACCCTTTCCACTCGAGGAACCTCCGCTCGACATTTGCTAAAACTAAACTAGAAAACAATTTGTGTGGATATGGAGCAAGACATGGAGCACTATATATAGAGATGAAGGCAGGTTCACCATGAATGCTACTTGACAAAAAACATGTGTGCGTACTCATTTATTGAATCTGCAAAGGCTAGATGCTTCATCTGAAAAGCCTACAACCATGACTGGTCATTTCATCTGAAAAGGCTACACCTGTGTTTTGTCACTTCATCTAAATGCAGTACATCACTCTGATATTAATTCATTGCGTATACGGATACAACAGTAAACGAATCTAGGCTTTTCAGTGAGTTTTCAAATAGACTTGTAGCCCTTTCAGTGACTGCAACAGTACCTGTAGCCCTTTCAGTGACTGCAACAACACAAGTAGTCTTTTCAGTGATACAAACAGTACCACTACAGTCTTAGGATAGTTAACGAAGTACAGGGCATAAGACCATCTGAAATAAAATCATAGTGCATTACAACATAATAAAAAAAGTCCAGGGAATAAGTTCATCTGAAATAAAAGCAGAGTGCATTACAACATAGTAAAAAAAGTCTAGGGCTACACGACATCGCTCGTGAATGAACCAAATACCTACTGAGTGCAACGAGGCCACTTTCCCTTCCTCTCGGCATCGGAATTCTCCTCCATCGCTGCCTTCGCTCGGCGCACACGCTCAAGCTTCTTCTCCCTCTCCGCCCTGTACGCAGCAACACGCCTCCTTTCCTCCTCTTCCTTATGCTCCTTTTCTATAGCCTCCAGTCTGCGTCTCTGCTCAAACCTCTCCTTAACCTCCGCATCCCACTCCTTCAGGCCTTCTAGACGCTGCTTGTCCGACTCCTTGATCTCAGTGTCAATCCACTGCTCAAAGTCACACAGTGGTGGAACGGTCTGCAAGAAAAACAAATTGTTACAAAACAAATAAATAAGCAATACTTAATATCACAAGAAAATTAATTAACACAATAAAAATTCCTCACAAACGATGCACGGCGCTGTTGCTTTGTAGGTTCCCATGCATAATTGGGACACATCCAGTACCTCTGTCTATATGTTTCCTCATCTTCAGAGATGTCTACCTTGCAAGGATCACCACAAAAGCACATTGGTCGAGGAACACCTTCAGGGAGAGGCTTTAGGTCGTAGGGATTTGCCCTCTGGCGACCATAGCTACAATTGAAAGAATTTAGTCATATTAACGGAGAACCAAACCTAAACCTAGGATTTTCTATTTGTTGCACAGATAATGAATAAACATTGGGATTACCTTGGAATACGAGCTTTACCACGCCTTGGCATCCTAACATTACGTAGAAAAAAAATCAATCCAAAGTACCTTGCAACGAATGTAAAGGTACTAACACTACATCACCATACCTCCCAAATAAGCTTTTCATTACAAACCCTAAACAAATTTGAATCCCAACAAACACAAAATTTAACTCAATGATTATAAACCATAACATATACAACAACAACAACACCAACAACCATACATTTGGGTCATTCAATCATTTGAACCACCATACATTGCACGAATGACATGAACATGAACCAAACCTATAATGCCAAGTTCAAAAACAAACGAATCTAAATGAATGAATTGAAAGAGGGGAAAGAGGAGTACCTTGGCAAAACGCCTTGATCATAACAAATTGAAATGTAATGACCAACAAATAAATAAAATACATAGTAACCCTAATGACCAACAAATAACTAACCCTAATGACACCTACAATAAACAAATAACCCTAATGACCAAAATAACTAGAAACCAAACTAACCTAACATGTTCATCACATAAAACAGTTAAACAACAATGCACTCAATGATCCTAAGCCATACATTTTACAAATGCAAACACAAATATACCAAATCACCAAACAACCATGATTCCAAATGATTAGGGACAATGTAAGCACATCTACGCGGATAGAATGGAGGAGGGGAGGGACCATTACCTCGAGGAAGCTTCGGGAGGACAAGATCCGGGCACCGGGGGTCGATTTTGGAGGTTAGAGTTTCGTGGGGGCCGTGGGGGATTTGGGAGCCATGGGGGAATGGAGGAGGGGAGGGAACAAGAAGAAGAGGCCTCGGCGCGGCCTAAAGGGTCCAGACCTTGGCGTTGAGTCGGGTCACGCCGAGGTCTGGAGGCTCGGCGTTAAGTGACCCAACGCCGAGCTGCTGGGCCACCGTGCTTTGTTGGGCCGCCTGGGCCGCGCTCCGGATGGGGCCAGAGCTCGGCGCTCGGTCTGAACGCGCCGAGGTTGGGTACTTGGCGACGGCTGACACGACGCCGACGTCTCGGACCCACGCGCCAACGTGTCGACGACGACCCCGGTCTTCCGTGACGTGGCAGTACCTCGGCGTCGAGTGACACGACGCCGAGCCTCATATCTCGGCGTCATGTGCTAAGACGCCTAAAAATGGTCTATTTTCAGAAAATGTTTTGGCGTTGGTATTTTTCTAAAAATTATTTTCAAAAAAGACCAAAATACAAAAATTTCACCGTTCTTTTCGGCGCTGATAAATACCCAGCGTAGTACTCCATCCCAAATCGTCGCCTCTGTCTCTTCCCACACCTGTAAAGTCCCCTCCCCTCTCTATCCTCTCTCCCTCTCCCTCTCAAGTCCAATGGCTGTGCGCGCCATCCATACGCTGCTGCTCCTCTGCACCATGGCGCTGCTGCTGACCGGCCTCGTGTCGCCGTCCACCGCCGGGCTCAGCCTCGACACGGTGAGGGACTTCCTGACGCGGGAGGAGGACACCATTGTGTTCAGCCTCATCGAGAGGGCCAAGTACCCGCTCAACCGGCCGGCCTACGCCCCCCTCCACTTCGGCGCCGGCGCCAGCGCCGGCGCCGAGCCCGGCCGCAACCTCAACGCCTCTTTCGCCGAGCTCTTCATCCGCGAGTCCGAGGCCGTTCAGTCCAAGGTACTACAATTCAGATGACGAATTCCTCTCCTCGTGTTGTTTTTTCAGCTTCGGAAGTAGTAGAATTCAGTTCTTGTTTCTCCGAACGGTAACGAAGAAGAAGAACAAGTCAGTTGTCGAGCAGCATTCTTTTTCGTGCGGATTACTTGCTCACCGGCTTTGTCAGCATCTGCATGTGGCGCGTGGCCGGCGATCCATTAATCTATGGTTTTGATTATGTAAACTTGTGGCGCTGACTTTGGGCGTATGAAAATCCTGGTCAAACGTTACAGTTTGTGGGGGAGGTGTTGGCTGATGCTAATTATTAATTCGTTTGCTTTCAATAACTTTCTGAACAATCTTTGATATGGGAAGAAATTAAAGTGGCAGGCCGGCACAGGCAGTACGTCTGTTTTAAAAATAGCAACGGGCCAGCCATTTTCTCCGTTTACTGATTGGCTGGTTCGTATCGTTGCTGGTTCGTGAAGAAGTATGACTGGCTGGTTTGTATGAGAGAAAAATACTGTTCCGGCTGGAAATTTACGATCGTTTATGACAAGCCAAACGAACAAGCCGTGGATTGGAAACTATGAAAGCTTATATTAAACCTCTAATCACAAATATAAGCCAATTTTGGATTATTTGTTGTTGGCCACATTTTTTAGCTTTGTCATTCTGTATATAAATGTTTACACAGATTGGCAATAAGATTGGTGCCACATGATCCATCATGAAAAATACTTTCGTGATATATAACTCATTCTATTTAACATAATAATTGAACCATCAACAATTCAAAATTCATATATATCCAGCCTGTTCGCTTTGCTGGTTTCAGCCAGGACTTATCAGCCATGGTACAATATTTTCCTCTCACAACAAACCAACACCAGCCGGGCTTATCAAACCAGAAACCAACCAGCGAACAGGCTGATTGATTGATAATGTAAGGCGATGTTTTCAGCATCATTAATAATTCACAATATATAATTCATTATGAATGTACTTCCATGACATATAAATATCTATTTGAAATAATGTAATTTCCATAGGTAAAAGTGTATTTGTGATTAGAGGAAGTAGTTTTTGCATTGGGATTTGGATGCAGAACACTGTTATAAAGCATGCGTTAAGTCCTAACGGCAAGCTATCTCTGCACTGCTACTGCCATTGGCATCAAGCAACACAAATTGCGTGAATTGTGACCAAAGATACGAAGTGAGTGCTAACTGAGAAACTCCACTAATCCTGAGTTGCAGCTCAACTTTTTCCATAGGCCGGAAGGTATCAAAACCTACAAGAGATTCCATTCTTCGCTTACAGAGTTCCTTTCACTCTGGCACCTCCATACAACTTCACAAGAGTAAGCATCCAGCAGCCATTGCGGAAAGATAATGAGCCATGAACAACTATCTCTGAAACGATATATCACTGAACCCCGGAGCTTAATTGATGCTATAATTCCAGGATTTGTATCCCGCTGCCGCATTAGTTAACGTTAATGACACCATATGGAGCATGTACTTCAATGAGCTTCTCCCTCTGCTGGCCAAGAACGGTGATGATGGCAACTATGCCGTAACTGCTGATGCAGATCTTAACATATCTTCAGGTACATAAACAATGTCACACTGCATGCTCCCTAATTCATAGTCATCACAAACGTATAATTTGTTAGAAGTCAACAATGAACACTGAGAATGTCTCCCTTTCACAGGTGCTTTCAAGAAGGATCAACTATGGCAGGTACGTGGCAGAGGTGAAGTTCAGAGGCGACCAGCAGACCTATACAAGCTTAATTCAGGCTAAGGTATTCAAAATTTCTAATGTTCACAGAGCATCAGGTGATCAGTTGGAGATTTGAAAGTTTATAAAGCTATAATTGGTGTTCCCCTTTTGCAGGATAGAGATGCTCTGATGAAACTACTGACATATGAAGCCCAAGAAGACGTGGTGAAGAGAAGGGCAGAGAAGAAGGCAATTGTGTTTGGGAAAAGCATAACATTAGATGGGCCAATCCAAACTGGTGTCAACAATAGCAGCCTGGCTAACTTCAAAGTTGATCCTTCAGTTGTTTATAAACTGTATGATCAGTGGGTGATTCCGTTGACTAAACAAGTGGAGATCGAGTACCTTCTCCATCGTCTCGATTGATTGAATCAAATGTGTATCCAGCTAACCTATTTGTATACAATTGTAATCAATTGCTGTCACACCGACAACATACATACGCAATAAAAAACATGCAGAAAGTTTAAAGACTGTTATCCTCGGTTTCCTACGATCATTTATAAAGCATAATATCGATTTTCACCAGTGATTAATTGGACAAAATTTTTCCAAAAGGATGCAAAAGAACATCAAATGGTAAAAACAGGGGTAAAACATGATATCAGATATCCACAAACAGAACTGAAGAACTGAACCTGTGGATGACAGGCATTGGATTTCCCCAAGAGGCAGTGCCTACTTTGCTAAGGAACGACGGATCGCCATTGGCCAATTGGCCATATAAGCTGATTTCCATGTGAACCACTAAAGTGTTAATATGGCAACACCAAGTATACAAAGTACACAGGCTATACATTGTACTCAGCCGCAAAAGAGTCAAGTTCCTGCAATCGTAAAATGCCAGGAGATGAGCAAGGCTGGAAGAAATGAGATGCGCTTTCAGTTCCTTACACGTCTCTCAAATTGCAACATCATCTTTAGCAACTATGTCTGCAACTGCTTCTCAGTTTTATGCACTGCGCATTACCTGCTATTTCTTTCCACCAAGATGGGTGGCAACTGTTGCGCCGTTGCCTTCTACCAATTGGGATTTTACATTCTGCCTGTGCCTTCTACCTCGGAGGTGGTTCTCCAAGTCAGACTCAGATGTACAGTTAGCCTGGCAGATGCTACAAGTCCATCCTGAGGTGGGCCTTTGGTTGATGTCAACGAGCTGTGGCTCTTTTTTTTCATAAAGGTTAGCCTCCTGGGATCCACTCTCCCCTTCATTTTCCTCGCTCTCTCTCCATAGAGCTCCTAAGTTCTCTTGGTGCCTCCTGCCATTCAAGTGATTCTTTAGGTCCAACTCGCCTGAACACTTAACTTGGCAAATGCTGCAATTCCATGCAGTAGGATTGTGATGCATGCCGCGGTACAACTCTGCTGTTGCTATCATTGTCGGCTCATCAGTTTCCATAGCCCATTTCATGTCTGCTACATTTGACAGGTGCAGGTAGCCAGCACAATGTTCCACAAAAGAGATTTCACCAGATGTATTCACGTGGCAGAGATCACAAATCCATTTCTCAGACGATCTTTTGTTGTTTGCTTCTGAAGTTTCATCAGTCCTTTTCCTCTTCACCCCAGAAAATGTCTTTTTAGGAAGCCTAGCCTGCTTAATGATCAGCTAGTTTTTAGTGACAGCCAAGGATAATGTCAAGAACAAAATTGTAACCATCTTCAACAATACGTTTTAGTTACGCAGTTTATAATCTTCAACGGGCACTAGATATAACAAGTTTCAGTGTTGTAGATCATACATAGCTTCTATTCCTGTGGCCCTACATCAGACTAGAACTTCCATCTATTGTACATCAAAATCTGAAGCACTCTGCCTAGCCTCTCTCTGTAACTGTCCTGATGAGAGTCCAGGCAGCATATGCATAAAAAAAGTGCATGCGGCATCCTCGCCAGATGAATCTTAAATTCAGTGAATAGTAGAGGGAATAAATTGAATATCAGAAAAGTTAAAACAAACTTGGGTCATTCTTCACACTGTATCCAGGATCATTATCCTTGGAGCTAATGTTCACCAAAACCCTAAACGGTAAACAGCTGGGCACATATCATTTGGCGTTTATTTGGGCTACACGGCCACTTAAATGGGATACAGTCATTAAATGGGATAAACAGTTGATTAAAAGGACACGGTTGGTCACCAAGTAACGTTTAAATGGCATGTAAACGGACCTACACAGCTGTTTACGGCAACACTGAGGGAGCAGAGCATCAACAAGAACATCATGTAAAAAAAAAAGCTAGGAACAGTAGTATATATTCTTCACACTGTGATTTTGTCCATAATCCATGCATTGATGAAGGCCCATGTTCGACACTTCACCATGATATTAGCATCAAAGTCACATGAATTATAAATATAGCGGTGATAATCCATGGCCAAAAGGCAAAACAAAGACCCTATCACTTCTTGTTAAGCATACTAATGGATAGCACAATATAATTATTTGATGGAAACATTACCCTGAAATTGTGAAGCTTCACTATTAGGATGGATTAATTATTAAAATTCCACAATCTAATATTTACAGTGGAGCTAGAACAATAGGTTAAAAGGGTCCCTATTCCAGATGGTCTATTACAAATTATAGTCTACTTTGGCTTTGTCCTAAGTCAAAACTTTACTAAGTTTACAGGGAAATGCACCAACATCGAAACATAAAACCAGTTTCATTAAATTCTCCATGAAATATGTTTCGACAGAGCATTTATTTGAAGTTAAAGATGTTAATATATTTTTTTTTCTAAAAACATGGTCAAAATTAGACAAGTTTGACTTAGGACAAAGCCGAAGTAAACTATAATTTGGAACCAAAGGAGTACATGATAAGATGGATGGTCAAATTAATAGTTTTTCATTGCATGAAAAAATGCATACAGCAAACCAATGTCATACTTAGTCTCTAGTCCTAAGATAGGAAGATGAAAAATTTACTTTCATGACAAGCTAAATCCAAACATATCTGCATAGATAGCCAAAACAAATACTACAAAATAATGCTTGAAAGACTCTTTCATAAGTTGACATGGCTGGCTTCAAGAAAAGAATTAATACTTGAGAGATACAGAATTGCTAACCGGATTTTCAGTTTTCTTTGGAAAGATCAATCGAGTTTTCAGTTTTTGTGCAGATAAATCTTGCACTGTTCAAGATTGGTGTGTCCTTTTACTAAATGCTAATGCTAGATGAAATTATCTTTAATGTGCAGATACAGTATTCAGTAAAAGGATACACCAATCTTGAACAATGCAACATTTCTATATTTTTAACATGCATATATATAACAGACTGAGGAAAAAACGAGGAGGGGAATAAGCTCACCCATTCAATCAATGCATCCTCGTTTGCTGATAGTCGATGCCATGGAGGCCGATACCATTCATCAATTCGATCTTTAACAGAGCGTCTGGGAACCGGCATACCTCCGGGCATGTGGAAGTGGAGCAGACCCTCTTGCCGCACAGGGGATGTATCATGGTGGGGCAACGTGGTCAGCTGGAGCCCGGCAGGGGCGCACAGGGACAGGGGACCGGCGTGCTCCAACCCGAGCTCGCACTGGACCTCGGACTCTAACCCCCGCTGCTCTGCCAGCTCAGCGGCGATGATCTCCTGGATAATGCTCTCCTTCACAAGCTCCCTCCGGAGCGCATCCACTGACATTTGCCCTGCATCCCCAACGCCACCGCTGTCAGTTTTCTAAAACGGACGGCATTTTGTCCGGATAATAATGTGGCCCGGTCATCAAATTCCTCGCCAATGAGGCACAATATTATCTTAAAGCTACCGATCGAATTCGCACTATAACATTTTTTCCGGAAATACGAGCGCGATTTTGTAATCATTTAACGGATTAAAATCGGCCACCACTTCCTAAACCCTAGGACATCGAGAAGAGCAATGGCAACTATCGAGAAAAGGACAGGAAACTAGTGCGATGCGATCGCAGAAACGAAAGCAAAGGACAAGTTCCATCACCGTGCGGAGGAGAAGGATCCGGAGGCGGTAGTCGTCGTCCAGGCGAGCCGTAGCGGCGGCTCGGCGGACAATTTCGATGGCGGGGGTAGGGTTTGGAGGATAGGACGCGTGGCCTCGGGAGCCGAGAGGTTTGTGGGCTAGTTCCTGTGGTCGGTGGTCAGGTTCGAACAGTCGTTCAGAATTCTACAGCTCCAGCACGGCGTGTTCGTTCCTATGCACATTTGAATAATAGAATCATGGTTCTTTTAGAATTTAGAAAATGGAATGTTGTACATAAAAACTAGATATACTTAATTATTTTAAAAACTGGAAGTTACGATGCCAATTTTAAATTTCTCAAATTTTATAAATTTCTTTTGAGACCTAGTACACACTCGTACACATGAGAATACACTCACTCTATGAACGGGTACACACTCTACTTCAATGAGCATCTCTAAAGAACTCTCCTGCCCACGTGAGCGAGTTGGACTAGCGAATCTCGAGACCGATAGAAGTCGAATTTCTATTTTTTTATAAACTTTTTTTTGTGAGACCTAGCATAGACACAGTCACTCATATACACAAGTATACATTCACCCCTATGAGCTACGTTTTAGATGGTATTGATTCAGGGGCTATTTAGTAGAGCTCTACTGATTCTTAAATCTAGCTACTTAATTCTTTGGTGGAGTGATTCTAGTTCATTTTAATAGGCAGTAGTGATTTTGATGGAGATTGAGGTTTCTTTGGTTGGCTTCCCAAAAGTCAAAAGACAACCAAAAAGCAGGATGGGCGGGTGCAGGCGTGCAGCCGAGAGGCCTAGCTTTCCGCCTCGGCCAGGTAAACAATAAGATAGTCAATCAGCGGATAATCAAGTCATTATATAAGGATTATAAGGGCTAATTGTTATTAGGCACATGCTAATTAGGATTTACCACAACCAATCTCTAGCATCAAACAACGGTCGCTTAAACATAATATTAACGATCAACAATTGCTCGGTATAAATTTCTAATAAATCATCAACTGCTATTACTTGTACCGACTGTGTATCGGTCTGTACATATATTTAGCTGTTTCCCCGGGCAATCGGTCGGTAAAAATACATATTAGAGTTAAACTATCGGCCGGTACAACGTGTTTTCATTTTGACACCCTTAGCCTAGCCCATGCACACGCAAAGTAATTTTGTGGCCCACCTATCGGACGTACATTCAAAACCCTATCTAGAACACACTAACCGTCCACCCCAGCAGCCACCGTCACAGGCTCGAGTTTCTCCAAAAAAAAAAAACTCACCTTCGGACCTCCACCACCACTGCGTCACCGGAGGCGCCGCCACTGCCGTGGCTGCCGTCCTTGCCGCAGCATCCACCGTCTCCACCGCCACGGCTATCCTCAAACCATTGGTTGCTAAAATGTGTAACAGATCATTGGTCGGTACAAGTATGAACGTCCAACTATCGGTCGGTATATAATCCTGTCGGTCGCTATAGATTTATACTTTACATCGGTCGGTATAACACTATAATGACTTATAGCGACTCTCTTGCAGTCGCTACAATGACTTATAACGCTATAATGACTTATAGCGACTCTCTTGCAGTCGCTACAGATAAGTTGTGTATAATGGTAGCTAAATATATGCCCGTGCATTGCATGGGTTCACGATTTTTTGTCTATGTCTACAGCGATGCATATGTCATGTGGCTTTGATGCTAATGATGCGTTGGGAGGCGCATCCATCAATTGTGGGTGCTTGATATCCTTCCTCATCGACGTCACTGACTCTTCCACTTGGTTTAACTTTTTTTTTACTCTTTTCATCCTGAAATATAAGGTATTGAAGGGTGTTCGAGGTGAATTAACTCCCTAAAACTATAAATAATATGCGTACCTGTCATGCTCGAAATATAGTAAGCACAAGGTTTCTCTACAGTTTAAGGATGGTTACATGCATAATTTGTTTGCCTCTTAATCTATACTAAATTGCTAGAATACTTATTTGATCCATGATCTTTATCATTTATATTATGCAGATGTAGCCTAATAAATTTGGTTTTACTTTTTCCAATTAATACTTGTATGAATTATTATTATGCATTTTGCAAGTTTAAGCTGATTTTATTATTTAAAAAAATAGTAAATACTCCATCCGTTCCAAATTATAAGTCGCTTTGACTTTTTTGGTACATCTATTTTGTTATACATCTAGATATAATAATATATCTAGATACATAGCAAAATGGATAAGCAAAAAATTCAAAGCGACTTATAATTTGGAACCAAAGAAGTAGGTAATAAACGATTTTGTGTTGAGAACCCTAAAGTAATTTCAAATTTATTCAGGCTTCCTCTATTTTTTTGTCTGGCTTATTATTATACTAGGTTCTTGCACGTGCGTTGCTACGGAATAACTAAACTTTTATACTAAAAATATACGGATCGCACGATAAGGTAATAATACTGTGAAATTAAATATCGATGTTAAAATGACATTTAATTCAAAAGGCAAAGTTTATGAAATTAACACAGTCACGGATAGCGCGGTTTCGTAGGCTCACAAACTCTACTGTATAGACCTTTCCGTGATGCGGCTAAGATAATATTTTATACCGGCAGAAAGAAATTTTCGATATTCATTTCTTTCATGCGCCAATAAATCCACGAATAAGTTTCGTCGTATCTCCATACTATCCTGTATACACGTTTGAGTATATTTGTAAATATTAGTGCCTGTCACATGAGTAATACCGTGTCTTGAAAAATCTCTCACAAAACCTTAAAACAATGGATGTTATACTGATCTTATAAATATGTGTGGTTTAGATCTATTCCATACAGACATATACTGTAGAATAAGGTATCCACTTAAGTGTTTGTGGCCAGATTCATTATCAATAATATATAGAAATAGTTAAATCATATGTATTATTATTGCAAGCGATATTGACTCTGAGTTAGTTACTCATCTATATTATCTGTAATGTTTTTTCACGAGTGAATTTTCATCTAAAGATATTCTCGTTCCATCCAGGAATATGTATATTCATCAGCATTGGTGTGTCTTTACACCATTTTTCAACAGGTCTAGAGTCAATCATGATAAGCATCTTCTCATGCTAATCGAAAACATAAAGCATATATTTTCGAAGTGTAGCCATGGCAAAAGAAACTGCAAACATAGTAGCTGTCCCATATCAGTTAACTGCAAAAGAAAATAATCAATAAACCAGAATTGCTTGTATTTTTAGTTTTTTACTAACCTATTCTAGTTAAATCTTTATAATGAGCATATATATCAAATTTGTAGCTGGAATGATGGAGATAAAAGAGTGAATAAAGCAAGGAAGCAAGTAACAAGATTTTGCTGCAAATTAGCCTCAGTGCAAGGACATTGCACTGTCAGACATGTTTATTCTGTAGTCCTGATGTGTATTTAGATGGCTTTGATTTAGTTGATTGTAGTGAGAAAATATGCACAGCGGGAAGGGAAGAGAAGGGGTTGGCACACCTGGTGGCAGCAGCGAGCGAGGGTGTAGGACTTGAAGAAGCTGCTGCTGCTTGAAGTGCTGCGGCCCTACGCCGTGTCCGGCAGCGGCCCGTCCGACGGCGGCGGCGTGTGTTGGTCGAGGCCGAGGAACGTGGCGGAAACAACGCCGGTGCATCGCGGCGGCGGCGGGTTGGCGAGGTCGTCCGATGGCTTCGCGGTCGCAGGCTTCACCAGCAGCGAGCAGTGTGGCGTTCAGAAACCTCTCTTCCCCTTCCTCGACGTGTGCCACGGATCACATGCAGAAGAGGCAACTGTGATTAGATCAGATCCGAATAGAAATACCCAATTAGCTTAAGTTAGGGTTAGGTGCTCGGTTTTGCACAGCAGGAAGGGAAGAGAATGGGGTTGTCTCACGTGGTGGCAGCAGCTAACGATCGAGTCCAGGAGGGCGAGGGCCTGAGCTGGAGTGCAAAGCTCGAGTTAGGGCTTCTCCCACGTGACCGCGCCTCCGCGGCGGCATGGAGCGGGAGAAACGGAGGGAACCAGCAGTGGCGGCGACGGCAGTGGGACGGTGGCGCTGCGCTATGCTTTTGCGGAGGGACAGTGGGGGCACATGTGCGTCTACGTGTGTCCGCTCAGCTCAGGTGAGGGCGAGTAGAGGAATGCACGCTCTAAGGGCGAGGAGAAAGGAGAGGAATGTACGTGCTAACACTACAGTAGCACATAACCAAACAAATCAAATAACTAAAAGGCATACTCCTTCCAGCCTTCGAATAACTGGCGTTTTGAGGTTGTCCTAAATCAAATGTTTTAAGCATGAAGACGCAGGATGACACTACAATATCACAGAAAGACTATATAAGTGAAAAAGAATGAAAAGATAGTTCAGTTCCTGTCGTAAGAAAAATTAATCAGTAATAATGTGTTGTTTAGACAATTACAACGTGGATACCTGTTCTTCTATTTGTTTTGGCCCTGACCAGTGCCACACGCACCTCACGCTGAATGTGTAGTCGCTGCACCACCGCCTTAGCGTGCTCCTCTCACTGACTCCATTAGACAAGATTTTTTTTTGGTTTCTCATTCCAAATCTCAAACAAATTTGTATGCACCGACCAAATGATAATGCGACTACCAAGTCACGATCTCAGATTCGGAAAGCATAAAAAAATTGAAACCACTTGTCTACAATAGACTGCAAGTTCACGAC